CCCCTCCCCCCACTCATGCTCTTGCTTGTGCGCTCTCTCTTTCTCAAATAAATAAAATCTCTTTAAAAATGTCATTTCATATTAAGAAACCAATTAATCAGGAAGCAGTAACAATTTAATTATTTATGTCCCTGATAACAGAATTTGAATACATATGAAGCAAAAACTGAGAGAGTTGCAAGGAGAAATAATTTTCTTTAAATATAATCAGCAAATTGGAGGAGGAAGTCATAAAGAGGACATGACCACCGGTTGACCCATGAACTGGACCTGGGCAATGGGAGTTTCCTCACCCCCTCCCCTGTCCTTGGAATGTGCATTCTACTTGCCTTCCCTGCTCCCAGAAGCTGCTCTGGGATGATGATGGCTTCACTGGTAAATTCTGCCAAATTTTTAAAGAAGAAATAAGACCAATTCTTCGAAAACTCTTCCAATATATATACTGCCCTTGAGAGAGTGATGTGGTGTTGAGACCATCTGGACAGTATACGTGGCTGAACCCACTTAAGGCCTCTATATTAACTTGAAGATTTGGCAGGCATGGTGGTTATATATCATATTCATCAAGATATGACTTCTCTTGCAACTGGAACTAAAACCTTAACTGAATTTATGACATAATCTAGTTAGAGACTAAGATTGCAGAAGATATCTTCTTCGTACTTATATGTTAAATAAAAAATAATTTAAAACTTCACTAATGTTTAATGCATAGCTGCTTTATGTGTGATTTTTATCTCCTTGTTCTGATTTCTAGAATATGCAAAAGTTATTCTTGACAAGGACATCCCCGAGAGATGTCCAATGGAAATTATTTTCATGATTCTTGTTCTGCCCAGAATACAGAATAGGAGACTTTCGCCCAAGGGATTCCTTCTAGTGGTGACTATATGTTAGGCTTCCAGAAGATACTGTCTCCACCCAACTGTGGATGTCATCTCAAGCATACATCAGAGGAGGATAAGAGAAGAGGAAAAAGCAATCTGGTCTTAGGGAAAATCTGTGTTTGGTAAGTTATCTCGTGTTCTCTGTGACTCTCTTCTTTAATTTTTTAAAAATACATGTATGTATCTGTATCGCCCATGCCCACCAGTGCCAACTTGAGTGTGGCTTGTTTAACTTCTGACCTTTCAAGATGGTAATATAGTTTTTCTCCTCCCATCCTATTCCTACGGTGCTTCTATGGTCTCTTTAACAAAGGTGTACATACCACCAGCATGCAGCGCCACGGAGATGTTCTCAGGTCTGCTTTAGAAGATCTCTGTTCTTTGATGCCTGCTGGATATTAGCAACTTCCAGCTATCTTGGCTCAAGTGGATCTTGTCATTTAAGAGGATAAAGTTTTTCAAATCAGATACAGTATTATACGCTAAGGTAATTTTTAACATAGAGATAGAAGTAAAAACGGTTATATATCCAGTGAGAAATGATATAAAACTCAATAACTACAGAAGTAAGATAAAACTACAACCTGACAGAAAAGGAAGGCATCTTAAGTTAGTAGCAAGAACTTGGACTTTCTCCCTATGCACCTTACCTAGTGTATATCTCAGGCAATTCATTAAATTCTGAGTCCAAGTTTCTCCTGTAAAAACATAAATATTGAGAATCTCAGTTTTAGGATGATTATTATTTAAAAAATCTTAGTGGATGAACATTGAATCTAAAAGAGCATGAAAAATGTGTTGCTATATTTTAATACTCCTAAAAGAGTAGTTCAGTTTGTCTCCTTTCCCTGATTTTTCAATTTTACTAATCCCAAAGTTATCATTACTCCCTTTGTGAAAATTCTCCAAGTTACAGTTAAGAATTTCAAAGGTGCTTTAATAGAATGTGCTACTGCCTCAGTATGGTTTCTTAAAATATAAATAACCCCTCTTGGACAAAAGCAGAAGTGAAAAGTAAAATGTTGCAAAGCTACTGAAAGCAGGTAGCATGTCTGAACTTCTTTTGGATCTGTATAATCTGTAGGGTTGCTAAGAATGTGCTTGTTCGTTTAGAAAAAATGTAAGAGGTGGGTATTTTTTTAAAAAAGGTGGTACCCTGTATTTTGCTGACATAAAGTAGTTGGCTATTCACTAAGATTGCTGCCAGTAAGCTCTGGACATTGTACTGCTTTAAGCTGCATTTTAACGAACAAAGAAAGAAAAAAACTAATATTTATTAATCATGCACTCAGTACTCGAAAAGTTTAAGTGCTTTTTGTATATTTTCTGACTCCTCGTCATAACATGTCTATTAGATTGAGTGCTCTCTTCTCACAGATGAGGAAATGGAAACAGAAATAGGTTTAGTTCAAGGTCACAAGGTTACCAAGTATTTGAGTTAGATTTCAGACCAGATCAGACTAGTTAAAAAGTCCACAGTCACTATGGACTCTGAAAAACAAACTGAGGGTTCTAGAGTGGAGGGGGTGGGAGGATGGGTTAGCCTGGTGATGGGTATTAAAGAGGGCACTTTCTGCATGGAGCACTGGGTGTTATATGCAAACAATGAATCATGGAAGACTACATCAAAAACTAATGATGTAATGTATGGTGATTAATATAACAATAATAAAAAAAAGTCCACAGTCACTCTACTTAATGTCCTAATTACTGGATTAATATTAATATGTCTATAATTAATGCACCAATATTACGGAATATTAATTTCAAAACTGATTAAAAAACAGCAGGATTTCTTACTGGTAAATTGTTCCCTAGCAATGTACATGTTCATCTTTTAGCAAAATCCTCTGTCAAACACAACTGAAATCCAATTTTGCTATTAGCTATCTTCTGTATCATTTATTCCAACACACACAAAATTAGTTATTGACAACTAATCCCAGAAAGGGATTTGTCTTTACAAAAATTAAGTATCAACGTGAAGCTCAAATTGTTCAAGTTTCTCAAGGGACACAAATGTATTGGGTGTAATATCAGGTTATTTTCTTTAGAAATTAAATCTCTACTATGGTGGGTATGTTTATTTTTAAGTTATGAGACTACTAACACATGTCCCCTTTTCCCCAGCAAATGTGTGTTTTGCCTAATTCTTAGGAATATCTTCTTCATGTCTATCCTATGCTTCTGAGTTCTCAGTATAAGGGAAGGGAAAATTAGTGCTTATGATGAGGTAATGGTTTTCACCATTCACCTGCTTTCTTTGGCACCACCCTTAAGATTTCAAGGCTAAAAAAGGAAGAGACACATAAAAAGTAAAAGAAAGCAAAGGGAAAGAAATAATAAAGGGAGAAGAGATGATATGCAATTATCTTTTTACATCCAGTGAGAAAAGGACTCAATTTACTTAAGGATAAATATAAACAATGTCATTATTATACTTATATAATATTTGTACAAAATAAGAAATTATAAATATTTACATATTATATTTAGAGTATATAACTGACAATCTCTGAAATTTTATCTTCATGCTCACTCAGTGCTAACGGTCAAAGATATACTTTGCTTCCACAGGTCTACAATTTATTCACATCTTAGAAATGACACATAGATATTTTAAACTTGTACAGCAATATTTTTAAACCTAGGGATTTCCTAGCATCCATGAATATACAGCTGACCCTTGAAAAATGCAGTCAAAAATCTGTGTACAACTTTTGAGTCATCCAAAATTTAACAATTAATAGCCTACTGTTGACCAAAAGCCTTACCGATAACAGTCGACAGAAAAATATTTTGTATATATATTATACATTCAATTACTACAATGAAGTAAGCTAGAAAAAAGAAAATGTTATTTAAAAAATCATAAGGAAGAAAAAACACATTTACAGTGCTGTACCTACTGAAAAAAATCAGCATGTAAATGAACCCACACAGTACACCTGTGTTGTTCAAAAGTCAACTGTAAATGAACACAAATATTTTATATTGATAAGCTTGAATATTTGTTATATTTTGGTTATATATTTGCTACCATTCAGACTTCAAGTCAGACTCTGCATCTGAGTTACCTTCTTCTTTGGTTAATCTCTTTTTTATTTTTTATTTTTAGTTATCAGAAACAAATTGTCTTTAATTGAGAGGCTTTTTATAGAAAAATTAGCATCATATTTAAAGCACCCACATCCTCAAAGTTTATTTTCCATGGTACAATCAGTATTTGAAAATTTTGATTAGAGAAATATTTTTCATGTTTATCCAAAATTAAATAAATCAGATTCTAAATTTCAAAACAAAATAAAAATTATCACATATAATCCCTTTCTCATATAACTCTCATTTTTTCTAATACATTTAGAAATGAATTTAATTGTGATCTTAATGATAAATTATGTGCCTGATTTTGCAATTGAATTATTATGCCAAGATATTTATATAAGGCTTTCTATATAGCTTCTCTCCAAAAGATTGTCCCAACATATATTTTATAGTAATAAGCAAAAGATTTAGTTTTATGATGTTTTATAAAAGAGGTTCAACTGAGGCTTGAAAGAATAATTATGTATAATACAATGAAACTGTAATTTTGTACCATGTCATTTGCTCTGGATTTTGATACCTGTTCAATATAATTTTCCTAAATAGATGACTTAAATTTTAGTTATTTAGTATAATGGTTGTTGGTAGTACCCCAACTCAGATTCTTTTTACTGGAGTGGTGGACTGAAGCTAATTTCCAGATGACATTGCAACCTTTTTTTTTTTTTTAGCATTTTCTTTAGCTGTGCTACTTTCCTCATTCACTTCTTGTGAGAGTATCCTCTCAATCAATCATTTACATGAGAATCCCATCTCAGACTTTGCTTTGTGGAAAGCTATCTTAGGCTTTTAGCTTCTTTTAAAAGGCATAATGGCATGAATATTTTGCCAAGATTTGTCTTCCCAATTATATTTTTCACTTTCAGATATAAATGCTCATTTTCAATGAAATTTAACTTTCAATGAAATAGAATTTCAACTAAATTCTAAAAATTAAGTACCCTTTCCCATGCCACTAACTGACAATCTATTCCTTCTCTCTAGATTATTTTAGAGGACGTACTGAATAAAATGGATAAAGGAAATTTGTCTGTAGTGTCAGAATTTGTGCTTTTGGGACTTTGCCACTCATGGAATATGCAGGTCTTATTCTTAATATTTTTTATACTTTACCTGATTATTATATCTGGAAATATTGTCATTATGATCCTAATCATCACTGACTACCGTCTTCATTCCCCCATGTACTTCTTGTTGGCCAACCTGTCCTTTGTTGATATGTGGCTTTCTTCAGTCACCACTCCAAAGATGATCACAGACTTTCTCAGGGAGAACAAGACTATTTCCTTTGGAGGGTGTATGTGCCAGATCCTCTATGTACATTGCGTTGGAGGGGGTGAGATGGTGCTATTAGTGGTAATGGCCTATGACCGCTTTGTAGCCATTTGCAAGCCACTGCACTATTCGACCATTATGAGCCTGCGAAAATGCACTGGGCTGGTGGTGACTTCCTGGACCATTGGCTTTGTGCATGCCATGAGTCAAATGGCTGTGATCGTGCAATTGCCCTTCTGTGGCCCCAGGGAAATTGACAGCTTCTTCTGTGACATACCACTGGTAATCAAGCTTGCTTGCATAGATTCCTACAATTTGGGAATATTAATGAATGCTGACAGTGGGGTTCTGGCCATGACGTGCTTTATTCTGTTGTTGATATCCTATACATATATTCTTCTTACTATCTGCCAAAGCTCTAAAACTGGTGCATCCAAGGCACTATCTACCTGCACTGCCCACATCACAGTGGTGGTGCTTTTCTTCGGGCCTTGCATCTTCATCTATGTGTGGCCACTCAGCATCACCTGGGTGGACAAATTTCTTGCTGTGTTTTACTCTGTTATTACACCTCTCCTAAATCCAGCCATTTATACCCTAAGAAATAAAGAGATAAAAGATGCCATGAAAAGATTCAGACTCTACTACATGCATTCCAAGGGAAATATTTAATGCCCAGAAACCTTACTGTAAGCACTTCAAACTGGTAATACATTGACCTTGTAAAATAGGTTGAAAATTCTAGGCATTCCGTTTATTTCTACATGTTATGGCTGTCTCCAAGTGTAGGAACAGGGTTAATATAATTCAAGAAATCATATTTACTCAACCAGTAGAACACCACAAAATATATCCCTAAAACCCAAACATTAATCATCCTTCTTTCTGAATTATCTAATCAGTCTTCCTGCGCCTTTAACTATGTTAAATGAGAACCTAAAATTCATTGCACAAAGCCATCCACCCATCCTGATGGACAATATCCTAATAAACTTTCTCCTAACTTCATTTGGAAAGTAGTCCTGTGACATTGAATCCTTCCCTCAAACCTTTCACCTAACCTCTTGTTAAGAGGCAATTGATTATTTTTTTCTTTAACTTAGCTTCTTACTCAAATACTAATAGGAAGGCGTGGGAGAAAAAAATAGAGATAATGCAGTAACAGTGGAAAATACATAGGGAATAGGAGTGAATGACATTCTGTGTTTCATTTCCATTAACTCAATACACATAAAAAAATGATAAAACCTAATGATATTTCCCTTGGTTAACTCAGTCTCAAGGACTAATACTTATTATGCCTCACACTATTATTAACCATTTGTGTGAAAGGCCTGAAATGTAAGCTCCTCAAGGGCAAGAGCCATGCCTTTACCTGATTAATTCTTGAAACGGCAGTACCTAATACACTGGTTAATATATAGTAAACAATAAATATATTTTAATGAACATATAAAGGACAATTTTTCCACTCAAAACCCATAACATGTATTGATCAGGCTAACAGAAGTGCAGTCTTTTGTCATTAAAAAAATTCCTAGGTTTCAACTTACAACTAAAATTTACTTTCTTTCTTGCAGAATTACAAATTAAGTGATTGAAATTCACTTGCAAGAATCAACAATAAGAGTCATAAAATAAATATTTGACACACAGAATTCTCGTAATATGGAAACAAAATACAACAAAATGACAATAAAAATAATGCATTTATCCTTGAATGCCTACTCTATGCCCTTATGTTATATGCATTAATTTAAATGTTTTTATTATTTCCAATGTATGACTAAGAAAATGAGACTAGGAAATGTAAATTAAAGTTCCTCAACAGGTGGGGGAGGAGCAAGATGGCAGAGGAGTAGGAGACCTAAATTTTGACTGGTCCCAGGAATTCAGCTAGATAAGGATCAAACCATTCTGATCACCTACAAACTCAACAGGAGATCGAAGAAAACAATAGCAGAAACACTCTGAACAGAAGAGCGACGACATTCTGGAAGGTAGGACATGTGGAGAAGTGAATCCGAGGTGATACTGGGGAGGATAGGAGGTGGGGGAGGGGGCCTCCATCAGGCGCTACTGGAAAGTGATAGAGCAGCAGAGCATAAAATCGTAACTTTCAGAAGTCTGCTCCACTGAGGGACGTTGCTCCAGTGGCTAAGCAGGGGGGGTGAAACCCTCACTGGGACAGTGTGGTCTCAGGACTCTCAGGGTCACAAAAAGACCAGGGGTGACTGAGTGTGGCAGAGCTCCCAGGTATCGGAGCAGAGAAGCCAGCTGCAGAGATGGAGCTGAGGAGTGGGCTCTCAGCTCAGGGTTGCCATAAACCGTGATCCATGGCACAGTCGGGCCACTGCTCCTCCAGCAGGGACCCAACAAGTGGCAGATCCAGGAGACTCCCCTTCCTCCCCTGGGAGGAGTGGCGCGGGAGCGCACCACAGGGATCTGTTGGGTTTGGAGACTCCACACGGGGTCGTGGGCCAGAGATAGAAATGTTGGTCACAGGCCGGGTGAGCACAGAGTGAGGCCGGAGTCGGGGAAGACGGGAGTGATTGACTACTTTTCTCTGGGGGCACACTGAGGAGTGGGGCACTGAGTTCTCGGCTCCTCCGGGGAGAGATTGGGAGGCCACCATTTTCACTCTCATCCTCCAAAGCTGTACGGGAAGCTTGCAGGGAACAAAAGCTCCCAAGAGCAAACCTGAGCAGATTACTTAGCCCAGACCCGGCAAGGGCGGGGCAATTCCGCCTCCAGCAAAGACATTTTAGAACCACAGCAACAAGTCCCTCCCCCAGAAGATCAGGAAGAACAGCCAGCCAAGACCAAGTTTACCGATCAATGAGAACGGCAGAACTCCAGCACTAGGGGAATACTGCACATACAGTTCATGGCTTTTTTCCCCATGATTCTTTAGTCTTTCAAAGTTAAATTTTTTAATTTTCTTTTTTTTTTTTTTGGAATTTTTCTTTTTCCCTTTTTCAACCAACATCTTATCAATCCCTTTTTTAAAAAATCTTTTTTTATTTTTCATTTTTAGAGTCATATTCTATCCCTTCACAGTAGTTAACCTTATTTTTAGTATATATATATATAAGTTGTTATATATATATAAGTTGTTCTCTCTTTAAAATTTTGGGATACAGTTTGTTTCTTTTTTCTTTCTTTCCCTTTCTTTTTCCCCCAGTTTCAGGTCTCTTCTGATTGTTTAGTGTATATTTTTCTGGGGTCGTTGTTATCCTGTTAGCATTTTGTTCTCTCATTCATCTATTCTCCTCTGGACAAAATGACAAGATGGAAAAAAACACCTAAAAAAAAAAAAAGAACAAGAGGCAGTACTGACTGCCAGGGACCTAATCAATACGGACATTAGTAAGATGTCAGAACTAGAGTTCAGAAATGATGATTTTAAAGATACTAGTTGGGCTTGAAAAAAGCATGGAAGATATTAGAGAAACCCTTTCTGGGGAAATAAAAGAACTAACATCTAACCAAGTTGAAATCAAAAAGGCTATTAATGAGGTGCAATCAAAAATGGAGGCTCTAACTGCTAGGATAAATGAGGCAGAAGAGAGAATTAGTGATACAGAAGACCAAATGATGGAAAATAAAGAAGCTGAGAAAAAGAGAGATAAACAACTACTGGATCACGAGGGCAGAATTCGAGAGATAAGTGATATCATAAGATGAAACAATGTTAGAATAATTGGGATCCCAGAAGAAGAAGAAAGAGAGAGAGGGAGAAGCAGACCTCTCGCGGAGCAGGGAGCCTGATGCGGGGCTCGATCCCAGGACCCTGGGATCATGACCCAAGCCGAAGGCAGACCCTTAATGACTGAGCCACCCAGGCGCCCCACCACTGTATGTTTTAAGCAATTTTTTTTCTGTCCAGAATACTGAGAATCTTTTTTCTCTGTCTGTCCTTATAAGATAAACCTGAGTGTTAAGTATGATTTTTATGGATTTCCTAATATTGTAAAAGTAGAAGGGCTTAAGAATGAAAAATACAACTTAGATTTCCTTGCAATATAATTTGCCACAACAAAATCCAAGATCTACATACTCTCATCTCAAACTTTTTAGTCACTTTCTTCCATGCTATCCAAGCTTAGTATTTACGTATTTATCAGATAGGCAAATTCTCCTTAATTCTCACTGGTTTCTATTAGAATCAGCTTCACAGACATTAATCTAGAGGACTTGCAGTTATGCATACTCTCTAGTCAAACTCAAATGGCCATCAGTCTTAATTTCCATTTAATGAAAATATTGTCTACTCTAGGGGAAGCATTTCTTCCTTAAGCACCAAGACCTCCAACACAGTAGAGCTCAGAGTGATGCAGACGAGAAGCAAAAAAAAATTTTTGAAGATTTTATTTATTTATTTATTTGACAGAGAGAGAGAGAGAGAGAGGGAGGGAGCACAAGGAGGGGGGAGCGGCAGGCAGAGGGACAGGGAGAAGCGGGTTCCCTTGCTGAGCAGGGAGCCCAACATGGAGCTTGATCCCAGGACCCCTGGATCATGACCTGAGCCGAAGGCAGACAGTTAACCGACTAAGCCACTCAGGCGCCCCAAGAAGCAAAAATTTTTGAGTGAGTTGTTACGTGTAACAGTGAGAGGATCCACTACCATTTCTAAACCTTGATTCCCAAATTCAGAGAAGGAAGATCTCATCTTCCAAAAGAGCCATAAAGTCTTCAGTATACCATTCTATCATTCTATTAGAACATTTGTTTGTGAGTGAACAAGTGTTAATATCAGTGTATTCCATGGTCATGAGATCACTGCAGCACTTGTTGAGCTATAAAATAAATTCCTTGATCAGATGTAATGTTATACAGAATACCACCATTGTGATAAAAGCATTTTTTAAATCCATGGATGGTAGTGCAGCCTATGATATTTAGTTAGGAAAAAACTGCATACCTTATTTCAGTAATGTCAGAATTCTACTTCTTCCACAATGGAAATGTCTCAATATAATTTTTTAAAAGAATTTATTTATTTGACACACACAGAGCAAGACAGAGCACAAGCAGGGGGAGCAGCAGAGGGAGACAGAGAAGCAGGCTCCCCATTGAGCAAGAAGCCCAATGCGGGACTCGATCCCAGGACCCTGGGATCATGACCTGAGCCAAAGGCAGACACTTAACCAACTGAGCCACCCAGGCACCCTCTCAATACAGTTAACTTACCACCAGGACACTGGCTGATCCCCACAGTAAATTGTGCCTCTTAGTTGCTCAGCATTAAAGGGGCAGATCACACTAAGAGCCAGATCAAGCTTTGTAAGGAATTCCAAGTTGTTTAGCAATGAATGATATCCAACCCTGGTCATTTTGCATAGGAACTCATTTGTCAAGCACTGAGGTGGCTGAAGAAAGAGGTTAATGTGCTCATAATTTGTCATTTGTCTACCTTACTTCTAAAGTTTCCTCTCTGGTAGATATCCTGCAGTATACATTCACATGGACATCTATATTTTCATAATCTGTGCCCATTCTGAGAGATGTATCATCAGAACTCTCCCCCAGGAATTCTCTGTCAGTAGGCTTCCAATTCTATTCATTCTAAGCCCTGACCATCTAATCACACCATTAGTAACTCTTCATGAATAAATATATATCCATGCTTCTAGCCAAACAAAGTGGACAACCAAATGTACTGCTTGAAA